TATATATATATATGTTACACAAATGTCAGTTTATACTATGACGATCATATGAGTGAATGAAAAAGAAATAACAGAGTAATGATAAGATTACAATTCAAATATGAAGAATAGCCAAAGAAATATCCTGAAAAATTAAATATCTTTTATTTAAAAGGAATTTTATCTATATGTTAAGTACATCTCAAAAGAACTAGAATATTATGAATAATTTGCAATTTCTTAATCTATTGTAATTTCTAATCTATCATTACGTTAATGTCTCTTTCTAAAATGAATTGCATGTTATACATGTGTATTGTGTTAAATGGGTGATATTTAATTTCGAAAATTAGATACTTTAGAATATTGTATATATACAATATACATATACTTTGTGAATTATGTTATAATTTTAACCATAGTGATGTGTATAGGAAAATTATACGTTTAGTCAAAATTATTATATTGAATGACAAAATATGATTACTCTGTTATTTATCGAGTATTGGGAGAAAAGGAAATGAATAAAGATGGAGAAGAAAAAAAGAAAATAAGAGAGACAATATTTAGGATTCACATAAAATACGTATAAATGAATATATTGCATATTAATGGGCGTCCGCAGAATTTTTTCTAGGGGGGGGCGGGGCATATCACTTTCAGATTAATTTTAAAAAATGTATACTTAAATATTTTTACATCTTTTAGTATTAAAGCTTTCTCATCGCGTCAAGGTAGATGTAAATCGAAAAAGATTTTTGTTTTTTTTGTGTTTTTTTAAATAATTTAATTTTTTTAACCAAAATTTTTTTTTCCATTTTCCAGGGGGGGACACGTGCCCGTTTTGCCTCCTCCCCCCCCAATCCGCATGCTTAAAGCAGCTTAAGCATTGTAAGATAAAATGATGAGGAAGCAATGTGCAAGTTTTTAATTTGCACAACTCTACTTGTTTATATTTATTTCGATTGCAATCTAAACATTTTTTAAGTTTTGACATTCGCCATATTGAGTCCACCATTTTGAATTTGACAATTTTGATATTAAATTCGTATTCATCTAAAAAACTCTTAAGTTTAGATAATAATTGAAAGTTATTTAGCAAATCGTCAATGACCTAAGTCACAGCTAACTTTTGCAATACCCATATTTAACCATGGATATCTTATTGATCATAACCGACACCAAAAACTTCTTTTTTTTTGTATTTAAAAAGTTTTTTTTGTATGTTTTTAAATAATTTAATTTTTTTAATTAAAAATTTTTTTTCCATTTTCCAGGGGGGAGCACGTGCCCGTTTTGCCTCCTCCTGCGGACGCCTATGTGCATATTAGTATATTGCACAAAATAAACTTGCTTGCAAGAGGTAAATATTGCCGAGAAGTTTGTAAATTAGAAGGGAGGTACACAAACTTAAATACATTATGATTAGAATCTGCAATTTTATTCGAAATAGCGGTGATCTTGCGTCTCTTTTTAATCCTTTATCAATTCTGCTGGTTTTATAGATTAACAGACTCAGTTAGACAAAATCTGCACACAATAATGATGTATCTATATAGGAACGATACAGCTTTGTATATATATATGTTGAAACTTTACCAACCAATATAATAAGAGATATATTGATAAAGGATTAAAACACACATACATACACTATGAGAAAAAAAAAGATAATAAATAACTTCGCAGTAACAATTATAGATACCCTCTTTTTTCTGATGTCAATTAGCCGATGTTAAAGTATTTCTTAGGATTGTGTTATAGAAATTCTTTTTTCTATTTATGGCTATAAATGACCGATTATAAAGACAGAATATGAGAAATCTTAATGCGCTGGTTGACAAAAAATGTGTATTTTTTTTAAATTAAGATTTATATTTAGCAGTTCTCTCTCTAAAAATTTGTGAACAAATTTGCATAAATCATAAATTAATATATAATTAATATATTATTATTTATAATTTTAGATTATAAATGACCCTCTCTCCTTCGTGCTGGTAATTGGGAGATTATGCATACTATTATATATATATTACTGCGAATGTATTATTATTACAGCTAAAATCTCATGTTTGTTACTATGGTCATTTTATTGCGCAAGCTTTTCAGGAAACAATTGTACATAATTTTTCCTTTTGTATTCTGGACGAAATGTATATTTTAATAAAATATTCAAAGTATGGATTTTTTTAATGTTTATGTGACTTTTGATTCGTCGTTATAACGTCATATACAATAAATTATTATTGCTTGTATATAGGGGAAAGTAGGGTAAAACTGGTTAGGCGGGTCAAACCGGGTACCTCTGTTTCTTCGTAATAAGTGCTACTATCTTTGGCTAACTCGTGTTATTAGTTGTAGATTGATGCCAACATTATTTTGAGATGACCCGTGCCCACGTGCACACGATATTTCTTTTTTGAAAAAAGTTTAAAATTTTCAAGCCAAAAAAGATCGATATCGGGACAACAATCGCGAGTCGTTACCCATACAGAAATTAATGTATATTAGATATCTATTGGATGTTCTCAATGTGCATTAGGGATATTCATGAATATATAGAAAACAGCTAATAGACATGCTTTAAATATCCAAATGTCCGCAATATGACATCTTATAAATATCCAAATGATATGTAGGCCAATGTCCACTGGATATACACATCAGTATTCAGTGGATATTTCTGTAGATATTCAGTGGATATTTATGTAGATATCCATTGTTGGTTAAATTTTGGTCACAAAATGATTAATTAAATGTTCTAAAAGTTAGATCTCATGGACCTTCACATAACATATCGATATGTCCCATTCACGGAACATCATTTTCTGACTTTGTTTGACGGCAAAATTAAGACTAATTACAGTAATAATATACAGGGTGTCCGGTAAAGATTGTGCCAACGCTCGTGAGCGGGTAGAGCACAGTAAACTGAACAGAAAAGTCCTTTACCATTTTGCGATTTTTGCAATAATTATTGAGAAATTAATTAAAAAAGATCGATCAATTCGCGTGAGTATAAGCGCGCAGTAAAAAGGGACAACCCATTGACGTGTGGTTGCTAGGACGCGGGAATCCATTATTATGTACTGCTCGTATGTAAAGCTAGTTTCCCACGATGCGATTTTTCGTGCAAGTTTACTTGCGAGGAGCCCTGCCAGCCACCGTGCAGGCTACGCAGCGAGAAAAGTTGCTTGCTGCGAGTAGCGCTGCGTGTAGCGCTGACGGTTTTCATTGATAGAACGAGTGCTATTTTCTCTGCGTATTTTGTTGCTAGGCATTGTAAACAACCAATGAGAACTAGCGACTAGATCATGTGACAAAATTGACATGATCTTGTTGTTTTTTTTTGGGTTATCATTGTGTGCCATTTTTTCATCCAAAGTCTTCTTTGTCGTCTTTTCATGACGATTTCTTTCCACTTCTAAAATTAGCAGACGAAAAAGTGCTCCTAAACTTTTCCTGCGTCATTTTTCAAAATTTTTTTTTGAGGAGCAGCGCACAAATTATCATCCGTTCCATCCGCTAAGCTAGCTTTGCACCTCGCTCCGCCTTTCACAAATTTGTTTTATCTCCATGGCAGCCAATGAATCGATACCCAACTTTTCGAAGTTGTCATCGGGATTGACGTTTTCATAACCAAGAATGTTGCAAATGATTTGGTCAAAGTCAAGTTTATCGCTGTTATTCGTGGATTTCTCGGGTATCACCATGGATGATAATACCGGGTACGGTTGTTGAAGAAAAATGTCCATGGTTGCAAGACAGCTGGTCATATATTGCGGTAAAATAGCGTTTGTATAGATGGTCGGATTCTTTGTACCTATAAAAATAATTAATATTATCATATAATAATATCGAGAGATAAAAAACGATTATTGTCGACTTTGACGATCCGCGAAGACATTTATTTATACAATATTTAAATACTTTTTAATTTGTTATTCTTTTTTAATAACATAACATTAATATTTTGTAATTATTTTAAACAAAATTAATAGTTTATCTTCAGCAATTATTTTTTGATACTGTCTCTGTTAATAAAATTATAATAAAATAATATAATATAGAACAGATTTCTTCTTCGAAGAATCGTGCAAGACCACTATGTCGACACTTTTTATAAGACAGAATGAAGGCATTTTTGAGCAAAATTCTTATAATCAAAAAGGGCAATGAGATTCATGAAAAAAGATTGAGAATCTTTGAATTTTATAAAAAGAAGTAAAGACGTAAATCTCACCTTTATATAAGCCGACATCTCTGATAGTACCCCATTGAATAGCAATGGGCAAACTAGCGGCACGTTTCTGCTCCATCATTCTCTCCATAGCTGAATTCGCAAGACAGTAATTGGATTGACCCGGATTGCCACGACCACACGATAAGGACGAAAACACAACAAAGTGATCCAGTAACGGACAGGACTTTCTCGACGTCGCATCCAGATTTCTTGTCCCATTGACTTTTGGCAAGGTTACCATTTCGAAGTCGGCTACCTGCAGATTCTCAAGCAAACTGTCGCGTAGCACAGCTGCCAGATTAAATATACCGCCTACTGGAGCCAACTGGTTGCTCTCGTTGATCAAACGTTCGGCATCTGATAACGTCGTGATGTCTGCCGTAGAGATAATAATTTTGATTCCCCTGTCGCGCCAATGTTGCACGCGGAATGCCTGGTAACCGGTGCGTATGCCGGTACGGGACACGAGAATGATGAATCTTGCGCCGCGATTGATCATCCAATTAGCCAATTCTAGACCAAATCCACCAAGACCACCGATCAGCACGTATGATTTCTCCGGATTCATGTAAGTACGCGGTATGGCCGCCACTGTCTTTGGCATCGGCAGCACATTCTTTTGCAGTTCCTCTTCTCGTATCTTTAGCAATATCTTGCGGATGTGTTTTCCCGTCGCCATAAATTTGAATCCCTGTTCGAGATATTCCTCTCGAAATACCTTTGTCGGTAACGGACGCACCACACCGTTCTCGATTCCCTCCGTAACAAATCTAATCGTTTCTCGCTTGTCCGCGCAATCCTCGAACAGCATTTCCAGCTGTATACCGTGGAAAGCGATGTTCTTTAAAAATATCGACATATCTATGCGGTTGCCATTTAATATGTTGTATTTCCCGGTCTCGAGAAATCGACCGTTAGTCGCGAGGCATTGTATGCTGGCATGCAGTTTCTCTTCTGCAAGCGAGTTTAGCACCACATCGACTCCACGTCCCTGGATCTCGTTAAGGATCAATTGTTCGAAACTTGTATCTCGGGAATTACCGATGTTCTTGTCGATCAATTGCGGAAATGTTTTCTTGAGGTACAGTCGCTTTTCCAACGTGCCAACAGTAGTAAAGACTGTGCAGCCGGCATGCAGCGCGATGGCGATTGCCGCTTGACCGACATCGCTCGCACCGGAGTGAATCAACACGCTCTCGCTCGATTTCAATTGACCTCGTACAAATAAAGCGTAGTAACTGGTCGCGTAAACGACCGGTATTGTTGCCGCCTCTTCCAATGTCCATTTGTCGGGTACTTTCCAGAGAAGATCCGGCAGCACGGTGGTCGCCAATCCCATTGTCTTAACTATACCCATAACTCTATTACCGTTCGCGTCTCTTCCGGAGAATTCAAGTCCTAATAAATACTTCTCCATCCCTGATAATGAGACGGTGTTTGTTGATAGTTTACCGGTCGCTAGCATAACATCCCTATTGTTAACACAAAATTTATTTATCAATGGTATTTATCAATATGGCAATATGTTACGTCTATATTATTAACTTGAATGAAAGACAAATAACGCTCATCAAAACTTACTTGAAATTTAAAGATGCGTAGTACACACTGCAGAGTGTATTTGTATATTTGGTCTGACAGTACATTAATGGGCTTTGAATCCACTTCAAGCTACTTAAATCTCCTGTCTTCAGTGTATTCACATAAGCGTGCTCCACTTGCACGTCGCTACGGCAATTTAATTGCAAATGCCGATAGCTGCCCCATTGACCTCCCTTTAATACATTAGCCGATAATTCTTTATCCAATTGTTCCACGTAAAACTCTGTAGATAAATCGAACTTGGGAGCGTTACTGTCTTGAATGAAGACATAACGCACGTTTGTAGTCTCGCGTCGGATGGAGTTTATAAATCCAATCAGACCTGCAAATTAAAAGTAAGGATAGCTGACAAGACACCTAATAATCTGCTGATAAACATTTCATCAAAATTAAAAAAATGTTATTAGTTAAAAAAAAGATTAAATCGATATTTTTTTGAATAGATATTTTTGAAAATTGAAAAATAAATTTTTTAATTATGGTACGGCCCTATACAATGTTTCTGTGCCGCAGTTATGCCATTCGTTGCGATAGAAAAAAGATCATTTTCAGAACAAAGCGCGAGTCTTTCTAACAACTACGGCAGACAATTTCGAATAATTATCAAGTTCAGGCGTGTTACTGATAGCTCGTTCTTTTAATTACTTCATGTGTATTTCTTATGTGTTCTATGATTAAAGTTCCTGGTATTTTGTAAAGAGCGTTTCTTATTTCATAAGTGTTGATTGCGTCGCGCGCGTTCGATAGTTCGAGATCGATCCACAATGTAAGTCAAGTTTCATAAAGTACATTTTGTCTCCAAAATTATTTTTTTTTAATATTCCTGCAATTTTTTTTTTGCCGAGCTATACAATTTTGAAACTAGACCTGTATTTTTTAGAAATGAGAAAAAAAAATTTTTTTAAGCTATTGATAGCATAGTTAAAGTTGAAATTTCAAGCTTTAAAATGCTTTTTTATCTACGATGATTTTTCGCAGAGTTTTAGCGATTTAAAAATAGCCCAATTTTTGATATATAAAAAGTGTTTCTTTTTTTTTAGTAGTATGTATGCGTATGTATAAAAGTGAATCTGTATGTAATTTTTTCTTTAAAATTGTACCAGATAACTCTTCGTCTTGGGATACAAAAAGCACTTCTTGACTCTTGCTGTCAAAGTTTCTTAGCACTGCTTTTGCATTCTCCAACCATGAGAAATATTTTTCTGTGATATATACGACGATCGGTTCTCTTCCTTCCCTTCGTTTTTTAATAAGAGATAGATCTTTCCCGAGGAGTCAATTTGTTTTCCAGCCAACGTCAGATTGGCCTCCCTCAATACCGTCTTTAAGTCGAGTGGTATAGTAGTTTCCTCCAGAAGAATAAAACAATTAGATTTTAAGTCCGCAGCCAGGTTTCTTAAAATAGTGCAAGATCGTCCAGACAGTATGTTCGTCGCTATGAAAAGGTGCATATTCTGAGCTGGGATTGCATCGTTCGCTTCCAACATCGCGACTTTAACATTCACGTTCATTTGATTAAAACGGGTCGTGTAATCACTGGTGGAACTGATGTCTTCCTGTAGATTAATCTAAAACAATGGAAGCAGAAAATTCATATGCAATTAGAATCGTCCACGCAAAAAAGCTTATGATAGAATAGAACTTGCTCAAAAAATTTTGTATTAAGAGATTTTTATCTGCAAATTACGAAATCTTCAATCGAAATTATTTCTATTTACTTTCTGAAGTGCACACAATGTGCATTAAAAATTTGTGATAAGTACTTACGGTAAAAAAAGGCTCATCATGGATAATATCTAGTATAAATGGCCTCAAAAGGCTACTCGGGGCTTGATTGTTCGCAATTTCAACGGCATTAATTTTAAATGTCGTTAAGTTCTCGCACATAATTTGTAATAGTACAGAGAGCTTCCCTCTCGTCTGGTTTTCCAGATCTAGGTTGCACGAATTTTCGTAAGGCACGAACGCGTATCGTTCGTACTTGGGTTTAGTTTGAATCTGCTGTCGCTGAGGTGCGGTAGTCTTTATACCTCTGATTAGGATACCGCCGGATTTGATAATACCGGTGTTTTTGTTTTGATATACCGGCAATCCACCATCTTTTGGTAACTTATCGACCAATTGTTTGTGAAGAACGGGATCGATCACGGCGTATCGAATCTTTGATCCATACACTAATTTCCGTCGTTGGCTATAAGATTAAATTGAAACATATTATCTATATACGAGGACCATTCGTTGAACCAGAATAACTCGCCTACGGTACAATAACTGTCGCTGGATTTTATCCCTTTAAAAAGACCGCTGTATTCATATCCGCGCAGCCTTAGTTCCTTATAAACGTCCTCGGTGTTCAACGGTAATAAAATCTCTTTGTAGGTAGGCGGTATCGGTAGCAGAAGCAGATTCATAAGTTCATCTTTCTTTACGCGTTCGGCAGCGCGTATGTTTCCGCTGAAGACTACTGTATCGAATTCACAGACCACGAAATCACCTGTTTCTTCGAAGATTCTTACCGATAATTTGATCGTTTTTTTCTCCGAGAGGAAAGTAATGCGTTGAAACCACACATTCTCGAAGATTATCGGCAGTTTCTCGAAATCAATTTTGCGTAGTTTTGCGAAGATTTTCCAAACTATCAGTGCAAGATTGGCGCCCGGAAGAATAATTCGATTTTGTGTCCCGCTAGATATGCGTCCGTTTCTCTTGACAGATTTATTTTCACAATATACTCTCTCGACCATCCTCCCGACTTGTGCTTGTAAACAGGTACGTCCCATGTATTAGAGTGATCCCACTTGACTAGAGGTCCGATCATCGGTGTTCCGCGACTAACAGGAAAACTAACCAACGGATATAATTTGAGGATATCAGGTTGCGCGCCGGCTATGTACATCTTTCCCACATTCGGACCTCTAGTCAAGTGGAATCACTCTAATACATGGGAAGTAACTGTTTACAAGCACAAGTCGGGAGGATGGTCGAGAGAGTATATTGTGAAAATAAATCTGTCAAGAGAAACGGACGCGTATCTAGCCGGACACATCCTCGGTTACCATATCTGTTCCTTTCATTAAATTCTCTTTAAACTCTTCAATGTTTGAGGATTCAGGCAGACGACCTAGAAAAATGACAATGCATTACATTTCTGTAACGAAATTGATTGGTTGTACCGTGTCTGCTCAAGACCAACACAATTACCTGAAATACCCGTAATGACAATGTCACCTTCAAAATGATCAGGCATTTTGATCTTTAAACGATTGGCTTTGATGCATAGCAATCAAGGACGAAGAGCAGGCCATATCCATTGCGTAACTGGGTCCAATAAAATCAAATGCATAAGAGATTCTATTGGCAAACATTGTTTTGAAACATCCGAGCACTCTGTATTCTGCAAACAGGCAATAAGTATTCTATTTAGTTCACTCAATCTCAAAAGATATAATACACATATGTGGCTAAAGTTTAAAGCATTTTTGCAGCAAAAATTTAGGCGTAGTGAAGTGTACGCCGCCGCATACTATCAAGCGGGCGGCTCACCGACGTGCGTCCGGCTAAAAATCGGCGCTAATTGACCAGATTTTACTCAATAAACCCTGTATATATACAGGGTGTCCGACATGTAAGTAGCCAAACGAAAAGTGGAGATAGATCGAGTCAACCTGAAGCGAAAAGTCCTATACCATTTTGCTAAATTCGCAATAATTATTATGTTATTAATTAAAATGTCTGAGCCAATGAGCGCGTGGAAAGCGGTAGGCCGGAATCGATAGGAATGTAAAATGGCTTACTTGTTTATGTTTCTTAGCATCGGAAGTATCAGCTGAGCGAGAGAGGCGGAGTCACGCAGCGAGCGGCGAGCGACACCGCGCCGAAAAATAATTATCACGCATTCAGTGACGAGCGATGTCACCGCGCCGGAAAATAATTATCCTCTCGAATTATTTTTTCGATGTCAAGAAAATAATGCGCTATCATTTCCACACTACCTTGCGGTAGATAGATTGGTGCGCTTTTTTATAGTGGTTTCCCCTGTAGGCCTAATCCACTCTCAATATTTAATGCGAAAATTGTTCGAATGTCGTCCTCTTTCTCGTATGCAAAGTTCAGCCCTTCGAATAATATTGCGCGTAGCACGGTACGTCATATCCGGCGTAATGGTATTAAAGGCCGCAACAATAGCTTCACGTACCTCGATTTCTCTATCATTACGCAGGTGCTCGATTAGACTTTTTATGTATCCCCATACAAAAAAGTCTAATACATTCATGTCTGGCGACCGTGCCGGCCAGGTGATCGGACCACCTAACCTATCCACCTGTCTGGATGACGGGCGTTTAGAAAATCGCGTACTTCTCTGCGAAAATGAGCCGGAGCTCCGTCGTGCTGAAAAATCAGCTGCGATCGTACGCGAAGCGGCACATCCGCGAGAAGGTCTGGCAACTCGTTCTCGAGAAAATTTTGATAAATTGCGCCAGTTAAACGATGCGGTAAAAAATACGGACCAATCTGGAAATTACGAAAAATGTTTTACTTTGACAGAAAAAAATTTTTTCCCTCTATTTACACTTACCACTTGATTCCCGATTATTCCCGCCCATACGTTTATGGACCAACGATATTGGAACGCGCCTTCACGACGACATGCGGGTTTTCTTGTGCCCAATTTAAAAAATTTCGGGAATTGAACACGCCATTCGGTGTAAATGTCGCTTCGTCGGTCCATAAAATATTGTCCGGGAAAGACAAATTCCGGCGACATTGCGCGAGCAACCCTGCACATTTTTTCCCGACGGTTATTATATGTTCTTAAATTATCGCGAATATAAAAAATCAATGACGACAATACCTTCGCAAAAGTATATCCGTGGTTGTAGGTCCCTCGGTAAAAGCTGTTGCACACGTTGATAATGATAAGGATACAGGTCGTTTACACGTAAAATGCGATGCACCTCGTACCGCGACAAACCAAATTCGTGTGCCGCACGACGCACGCTAGTCCCGGGATTTTCGTAAAATTCATCAAGTATTCTTTCTTCGTCTCGTACACGACGACGCACTGGTGCACCAGCATTTCTATTGTGCACGAGACACCTTTTTTCACGCATTTTTTGCACAACACGTAAAATTGTCCGTTTTGTCGGATAATGTGCACGCCCGGGAAATCGTTCCGCATATATCCGAGCTGCGAGACGCGTATTTTCGCCTGCTAGCCCGTAGGCTATCACCATATCAGTATATTCTTCCGGAGTAAATCGCATTGTTGCTGTCGAGAACACGAGATTTGTACGCGACTGCACAGGAGGACGTATGCAGAAACAATTAATTATCGGCGATTGTTAACATAAGACGAACGTAGTCTCAGCTGGCTGAGCTCTCGGGAGCATTGACCAGTGCAGTCGCGCAAAACTCTTGTGTTCGCGTGGTGCGATTGACAATAAGATTTATTCTGCAAGATTATACAAATGTGATAATTGTTTACCGGCTAGCGGAGAAAAATATGTCTGTCGCGGATTTATGCGTAGCGATTTCGCGGGTGTGCACATTATCCGACAAAACGGATAATTTAAAGTGTTATGCAAGAAATACGTGAAACAGGGTGTCTCGTGCACAAATAAAATGCTAGTGCATCAGTGCGTCGTCGTGTACAAGACGACAGAGAGAGTACTGGATGCATTTTATAAAAATCCCGGGACTAGCATACGTCGTACGGCATACAAATTTGGTTTGTCGCGGTACGAGGTGCATCGCATTTTACGTGTAAACGACCTGTATCCTTATCATTATCAACGTGTGCAACAGCTTTTACCGAGGGACCTACAACCACGGATATTGTCGTCATTGATTTTTTATATTCGCGATAATTTAAGAACATATAATAACCGTCGGGAAAAAATGTGCCAATCGTGCACATCCCGGATAACGCGATAACTATCGAGATCGCTCCGCATTGTCTGTTGCAGGCGATTATACGCAGATCGCTACCATCATCGGTGATCAACGTCAGCCTTCAAAAGCAGAATTATTCAAACAATCTAATTTTTTGTTGTCTAATGTGGGAAAGATGTACATAGCCGGCATCAACGTGTGCAATAGCTTTTACCGAAGGACCTACAACCACGGATATACTTTTGCGAAGGTATTATTAACGATTTTTTATATTCGCGATAATTTGAGAGTATAATAACCGTCGGGAAAACATGTGCAGAATTCCTCGCGTATTGTCGGCGGAATTTGTCTTTTTCGGACAATATTTTATGGACCGACGAAGCGACATTTGTACCGATCGGTGTTCAATTCTCGATATTTTTTACATTGGGCAGAGGAAAACCTGCATGTCGTCCGTGAAGGCGCGTTCCAATATTGTTGGTCCATAAACGTATGGGCGGGAATAATCGGGAATCAAGTGATAAGTGTAAATAAAAAGAGAGATCTTTTCCTTCTTAAAGTAAAATATTTTTGTTCGGAATTTCCAGATCGGTCCGTATTTTTTACCATATCGTTTAACTGGCGCAATATATCAAAATTTTCTCGAGAACGAGTTGCCAGGCCTTCTCGCGAATGTACCGCTTCGCGTGCGGGCGCAGCTGATTTTTCAGCACGACGGAGTTCCAGCTTATTTTCGGAGAGAAGTACGCGATTTATTAAACGCATGTTATCGAGATAGGTGGATAGGTCGTGGTGGCCCGATCACCTGGTCGGCACGGTTGCCAGACATGAATGTATAAAACTTTTTTGTATGGGGATACATAAAAGTCTAACCGAGCACCGGCGTAATGATAGAGAAATCGAGATACGTGAAGCTATTGTTGCGGCCTTTAATACCATTACGCCGGATATGGAGCACCGTGCTACGCGCAACATTATTCCAAGGGCCGAACTTTGCATACGAAAAAGAGGACGACATTTCGAATTTTTACATTAAATATTGAGAGTGGATCAGGCCTACAGGGGAAACCACTATAAAAAAGCGCACCAAGCTATCTACCGCAAGGTAATGTGAAAATGATAGCGCATCATTGTCTTGCCATCGAAAAAACAATTCGAGATAATTAAAATGTCTGAGCCAATGAGCGCGTGGAAAGCGGTAGGCCGGAATCGATAGGAATGTAAAATGGCTTACTTGTTTATGTTTCTTAGCATCGGAAGTATCAGCTGAGCGAGAGAGGCGGAGTCACGCCGCGCCATGAAGTGTGCGCCGCCGCATACTACCAGGCGCACGGCTAAAAGTCGGCGCTGATTGACCGGACTTTACTCAATAATAACTCCTTTATTAAGCGTTATAGAAAAAAATGTTACAAAACCGAGCAAAGCTTGACATGATTTGACGTCAAATTGGTGGCAAAAATCGAGCAAGATCTGCGCAATACAATCTGACACCAGATTGTCAGCAAAATTCGAACAAATTCTGCAGCTTTTAGCCATTCATATAAAATAGTATATTTAAATGGATTTAAAATCTCAACCCTAAGTAACAAAATGGTGATAAGTTTTGGTCATAAAAGGTGACCATTAGATAATTAGACATTATATAAAATCATATATTAAGTCACTTTTGGATCCCCTTAAAGAATAAAGGCTCTTCAATCATGCCCTCTCTCAAGGACTTGTTAGTGGAGCAGCGCACCACAATCACGATGATGACACGTATTTTGCCAAACTATCGCAAAATCGGCAAAGAAAAATATTCTGCGATTAAAACACAAAATCGCATTGAAGCATTAGAGAAACTCTGGACGGACACCAAAGCTCTGCATATTCGTCTACAGCAAACTGCGACGGACAAGGAGCTCAAGGAAGAAGTCTACTTCAGCTACGAGGAGTTTTTCTCCGCAGAGGAAGAATACGAGGCTTCCCTGGATTCACTCACGGAAATGTTGGCCAAGCAGCGGCCGACTGCACCACCTTCCATGACGAAGTCCA